CTTTTTTTTTTTTTATTACCAGATATGGAGGCGGGAAGAGGAGAAATGGGACACTTGCACCAGCAACAACAGTCAAGAGAGGTTAGGCCTATTCCAATCTGGGCAAGTGAATTGCCTATGTAAAACAAAAAATTGAAATTGCAATTTCTAATCAGCATGGACTAGGAGTCCAAGTTGGAATGAACCCCATACATGTAAATTTAGCTATTCCCAAAACTTTTGGGCTTATGGGTTCCAACCCAGGTTCTTGGACTTTTGGGACATTAAAAACCAGCCCAAGCAACCAGAAAGTTGATTGCAAATCTTCACCTTCATGTTTGCTAGATTTAGCCACTGGTCAATGCACTCACAAGCAAAGCTGAAAAGAAGTAGCCATCGTGTTTTCATTTGCTACTGCATGCAAGCAAGAAATATGTGGTTATTCTATCTCTATTCCCTGCATATACCATAACGAAGGTCTCTTTCGTAGCAGGACTTCCCATTACTTGGTAAGTCCTCATGCCGTGAAACTTGTATGGCGTTTTCAGTTTGGCTATCATGCTTTACGGTTTATACTTTGTAGGGGTATTTCCAACGAGTGGCTTCTGTTTTCTTGCGTATAAAGAAATGGCTAAAATATTAGTAAGGTTACCAATCAATTTACCATGGTATCATTTTCTTTCTTTTCCTTTTTAGATAAACGTGATCCTCTTAGGCACTACTCATCTATTTAAACCTTTTTTCACTTTGGCTTTCCCCACTCATCACCCTACAAGCTGAATTGCTGAGTTTTTCTCAATGAAATCGATTTGCTGCAAGTTTTTTCCCCACCTAATCGAATGAGGTATCATTAAGATTTGCATTAAAGCTTTTTATCTTATCTAACGTTCATTTCATGCATGCAGGAATGCTAATTAACCCACACTTTCTACGATTGTTCTTTTACTTAGAATCCACATATTTGATTTATCATTGAGAAAGGTTTACTGTGCGTTGTATCTTTTAACTGTAACGTCACAGTGAATTTATAATTGAGTTCACCACCACAGACTTGAACAGAGATTAAAATACACACTTTTCAAAAATATAAAAAGATTCTACAATTAATCAAGTTTGTGATGATTTTGCTAATTAAATATTTTGGAAAATCATTAATCAAAGAGGAAAAGGAGAAAACAATTCTTCTTTCTATTTTTAATCAAATGTAAACCTCCTTGTATACATGAAGGAAGATTAATTGGGAAGTTTGCTGATAAATGAGATCCTAGAACATTCATGGTGAATAATAATTGAATGAATCTAGAGTACTTCATAAATTGTGACCTTCACTTTCAGTGATGAAGAAGCAACATGACATTGCTCAATGTTGAAAATGAATATTATTACAAAGAAATTTATGATTAAATGGAAGAGGATAAAAAAGTCAGTACTGTTCCCCCGATCATCAAGTTACCAGAACTCCCATGCCTTCGAAGCTGCCAAATGCCAACAAATAGACTGAACACACGTTAGTCAACAACATTTTGTAACAAATAGCAAAAAGAGACCATCCTTGCAAGTAAGTCGTGGGTTCTTGCCTTGTCTTGAGAGCGCCCAATCCTTATCATAACCAAGAGCCCAAAAGAAATATCCAGCCAAGCCCTTAAACATTGCAAACCGAACTTTCCTGTTGATGGACCGAAGATCATCGTACCCAATCCAGGAGTCTCCAGTATATGAGTAATACGACACGGTCGTCGAATCGAACTTAACAGTAGCATTATTTTCTTTGTTAAACATAAGAATGGCGTTATAATTAAAGAAGCCATCTTCATCTCCGGGCCCGACACCTGTTGCTGGTGCCCCAACCCCATTGACATTTGGATCCTGGAGCTTCCATGTATGCCCATATGATGCCAGCCCCATGACCAAATTTTTGGGAGGCAGCCCAGCACGAATCCATGACCCAATCCCATAGTTACTGCTGATATTGCTGCTGGGATCATACAGTGCTGAATGCATCCCAGTGAAGTGATCCCATTTCCCATGATAATCAAAACACATTGGACTAGCCCAATCTAGATATTTGGCCATAGCATGAGCTGGATAAGATCGGGGCAGGCCGTAATTGGTGAATTCGGAGGAGTAATACACGGCAGAGGTCAAAAGCAAACGTGGTTTTCCGCTTGTTTTGGCTTCAGTTTTTAGTTCTTTTCTCCATTCCTTGAGCAACAAAGCAAGGTTTGCCATGTCGTCGACGGTTGCAGGGAACTCCCAGTCCAAGTCAACCCCATCAAACTTGTACGCTCGAGCTACTTCGATGGTGGAATTAATGAAAACCCCCCGTGTTTCTTTGGCACTTGCCATTCGAGAAAATACATCCGGGTCGTTCCCGCCTCCTCCTATGGAAAGTATAGTCCTGACGGGTGGGGTTTTGGCACTTAACCCATCCATGAATTCGGATAACTTTTGTTGGTCCGAAGGGGTTATGCTGAGCTTGAAAGTGTTAGGTTCGGGTAGCAGAAAGGCGTAATAAATGTGGGTGAAATATGATGTGTCAATGGAGGACACTGGGAAGTCTTCGAATGATGGCCAGTAAGCAGCTTTGATCCCTCGAGAAATTGGGGAAGCTGTAGGCACAGCAGGGTAAGAAGAGGGACTTGGAGTTGGACCCGGAAGGTAGGAAGGTTTAGAGGGTCCTGGTGCGTAAACAGGAACTGGACTATACGGTGGGGAAGGTGTAGAAAAATCTGGGGCTGGCCCAGAGTGATTCGCGGGTGTTGCTAGAGAAACTTTGACAAATGTGCAAAACATGACAAGAAAGAAAAATGTTACAGGTTTCAGGCTAGCCATGATTGAAGATTTGAGCTAGGATTTGACCCTGAATGCACGAATATAGAAGGGGTGCATATGAACCATGGAAATATCGACGTGCTACGTGTTGTTGCATTGCTGTTGGGTTTGGAGGGTTCTGTTTGTACTTTCTTGAAATGGTGGAACAAAATTCATTGGAGGAAGTGACCAGGGAAGGTATGGAAAGCCAACATAGGCTTTTATGAGCTTTGAATCACACGCACAACTTCAAAACATAAAAGCCAGAACCTAAACTGCATTATTGGCATGTCTTTTACTTTTCAATGGAACTTGTCCTCTTTAAAAAAGACAAGACTCTAAAAATAAATTAAACTGTTTGCTTCTTTTGTTAGGTTTTTGTACTCTTTTTTCCCCCTCCAATTTGCACAGCATTGCTTTCATCGAACGTCCACCTCGATGAACTCAAGTCGCGGCCACTGACTCTGACCATATGAACACAAAATGGAGAAGTGAGCCAATCAATGCGTAGTTTGGTGTTCCATGACACTTACAATACTTTGAATTTTATGAGGTTTTCATTAAGCCACAAAGGAATAAATTTTCTCCTCAACGTGCATGAATATAAATTCCAAAGGAAAAAACCTTTCACCCCTTTGTTTTTTATGGCCTAGACAGCAAAGGATATCTTCCTCTTCCTTTTTATGATATTCCCAAATCTCATTGCCATGATCCGATGTCCAATTATCAGGTTACATGAAGCTATTCACAACTGACAAGTTAAAAGGAAAGCCAATCTGCTAAACTTCTTAGCTACTTGAATTAGACATGGACTTTGTTTGTCAAGAAATTTGGGCCCAACTCATGTGGATCTGAGTTGACCCTAAGCAGTAATTATTAGATTGGGAATCTATTCCTATAGAAATTGGGCAGAGTAAAAGTAGTTTTTTTTATTTATAAATTTATATTTGATACATTACTGATCATTAAAATGTTATTATTTTAAAATTTTAAATATATTTATTTAAAAAATTAAATTTTATTTTTTTATATTTATAAATTAATATTTTATAATTAAATGAGTGGAAAACTATTATACAGGGAAAGTACGTGTCAACTAGAAATTCTGTTTCAGTTTCAATAAGTGACTCCTTTGAAAAAGAAACCCCACTTGCTGCTTCTTGTATCTCTCATGGCTGCCAATGGGCAATAATTTAGCTTCATTGTTATGTCATATATACAAGCTTTTCTAGCAGCACGCACCCATGATGTTTTCAGCTGAACCATGCACAGCCACAACAGTACAAAAATCTTGCACCAAAACCCAACATGAAATCAGTTACAAATTCTCTATCAAAAGCCTTGTTTTCCACTAAATAGAAAACACAGCCAGTCATGTTTATATATTCCCTTGTCCTAAAGTGATTTGGCTTCTCTTGGGTTCAAATCCACTACTTTCTTGACCATAACAGGTCCTGAAATGCATGAATTCCTTATACCCTAATCAAAGGGATAAAAATGGAGATGACATAACAGGAAGAGGGGTCATGGATTCGAGTGAGTCGAAGAAGAAGGAGAAGGATATGTGTCATGTTTTGTCCTCTTTTTGAAGTATGGTTGATGATCAGCTTAGATATTTGATGTGGAAGTGATGTTTTTTTTTCAGGTTTCTCAAGTGTGAGACCTAAAAAGCCAGACAGAGAGATCTCAAAAAGAGATCCGGTTCAATTTGATTAGACAAGTAATTGCCTATAAAAATCATGTGGGTTGTTTGTATTACATAAGCCAATTTGAAAGTGAAATGCCCCAAATCCACTCATGCCCCCATTTTCTTTTCCCTGTGGAGCAGACCCCATGTGGGGTTTGAGGACTGGATGATGATTTAGTTGGCCTAAAACGACATTTTGCATTGCTCATAATAATTGTATTAAGTAAAAGCTAAAGATTATGCTTATCTCCAGGGGTTAATCTTTGGGATTTGTTCATGTTAAACTAATGATAATACTACATAAGATGGCACTATCATACCTTGAGGGCTCCACATCAGCTTCACCATTTCCTTGTCGGCCATTTGTCACTTGGCCCCCCACCATTTGCTCCATATACGACAAATTAAGTTACATTCTCGACATGCAAGATGACCTAAGGTGGCGAATTTCTATTCTGACTTGACGTGCCTCTCATTCGATGTTTTTTTTTAATAATTTTATAGTAAGTATTTAGTAAAATTTTTACTTTAGTGTTACTCTTATTGCTAATTATTATAATTTAAATTAATAATAATATATATAATATAAAATAAACCCACTTTGCATGTCATTCTTTTGTGGCCTTTGATATTTTGTGGTTTAAAAAAACAGATGTTTCTTCTATATACCATATGTAAGTAAAAGTGGTGGTGGCTTTTGATGTGGTAATTAGAAATAATCTCACACATGCAAAATGCAAAATGTAACACAAAATTCCCAAATTGCTACTACTAAAATTGGGAGGCGATGTTAACGTGTATGCTATGCCTTGAATTGGACTTTCCTCTGTGAGAAATTATTAACCATTTGTACTTTTCAGTAGTTGATTATGACACCCTTTTTCACCCTCTGTTAGATGGTAAATTAACTTAGTTTGATAACTTTTTATTCAACAGCAGCACTTAGAAACTCGATTGGTTCTTCTGTTACTATGTATCTTGCATAATTTCTCATGTCAACTCTTCTTACCATACATACATTGATACATATGTTAGCATTGGTCATTATTCAAACTTTGTGGCAGCTGCAAACAATCACAGATTAAACAGCAATCATACAGAACTTAGTATTTGGCGGGGTGGGGTATGAACTGAAAACACGCAAGAGTAAATCATATCCACCCAGATAATCTAAGTTAATGATTTCATGACGATGGTGATCCCCAGCCAAGGCCCCAATCAGCTTCCCATCAAATCACGAGCAACATTTTCAATACGTAGGCACTTGCTGTTTGTGCGTTTAGTTTATGATAATAATAGAGATATAGCAGTGAGGGAAATTGGAGTGGGGGCAAACGACCTAAGAGATCAGAAAAAGTAAAAGCCCCACCAAAGATGTAGAGGGTGCACGCTCAAAGTAACTGGCATGGGGACATGGGTGCCCCCTGCTTGATGGAGTTGGAAGTACTTGTGGGAGAGAGTTCGTGTCGTGTACAATACAAGGGGTCAGATTGTCTTCACCCCCATGATTGGGGCACTTTTGGCACTCTCAAAGCATAATATTAGCACAAAAATAAAAAGAACTGCAGCATGAACCTGATTGTGTTGCAGGGAAAGATCAGCACTACCTTTTTTTTTCTTTTCACATTTGGTACCTGAAATATGTGTAACCCTGCGAGAGCTGTAGCAGTCAAACAAGGAATAATGTAGCTAGTGAGATATAAGAAGAAAGGAACTAGATTGTTATGTAATGGACAGAAACAAAAGTACAAATGGTGGAGTTCCAATTAAAGCTTTTGTGTGTGAGAGAAAGAAACCTAACAATCTTTCTTTTCTTTTTTTTTTTAATAAAGGGGAAGTACTGTAGGGTATGTAGTGCAATCCTTATTCATTCCATATATAGCATAATATAGCACACAAAAGCATTTGGTTATTCCCTCTTCAACAAAAAGGGGTTTTTATTCTTTTATGCTACCAGCAAAACTAGTTTTAGACTCAAAAAAGGAAGAAAAATTCTCTCCTTTTCCTTATGGGATCTCTGAGGAAAGAGCCTAGTCCCTCTGAGAGTTCGTGCATCATTTCTGCACCAGATGAAGTCAAAGATCGAGATCAACAAGAGGCGAGGCCGAGTAATATCCAACTAGATCTAAAGCTAACTACCACGAGTGACTGTGGTAATCACAGGTTCAATCAAGAACTCAATCTTATCGATTCCTTGAAGACAGCAGGTTCATCTGACAGCAGTACCGCACCAGAAACTCCCCAACCTACAGATGCTGAGCAGCGGGTTTTCTCGTGCAACTATTGCCAAAGAAAATTCTACAGTTCACAGGCTCTTGGAGGACACCAAAATGCCCACAAGAGAGAGAGGACTCTGGCAAAAAGAGGACAAAGGATGGGAGCTCATATAGCAGCCTCAGCCACAGCTTTTGGACATCCCTATTTTCACCACAATCATTATTCTAGCTTGGCTTCTCTCCCACTACACGGTGCGTATAATAGATCTCTGGGAATTCAGGTGCATTCAATGATCCATAAACCTTCTCATATCTCTTCATCAACTGGCTTTGGAAGTGTGTATGGGCACCATAGTTGGTCCAGGCCTCCCATAGACCAACAACCAGCAATAGGGAAGTTATTAATGGAGAATCCCCATGTAATCCCAACAGGACCGACCTCTCGAGCAAGTGTCGGTAGGTTCAACATAACGAGGTCGATAATGGGTTCTCCAGCTGATGATGAGGTGATTGGTAATTGTTGGTGGTCAGGTGGTGGTAGTCTGAAGACTAAACAGGAGGATCAGATGCAGAAGGTTGACCTATCCCTCAAGCTCTAATTGATTATATTATTCCTTAGAACGTATATTTTTTTGCTCGATTAAGATTTTGTTTACCCTTAATTTCTTTGGAAGTAATTGTTATGTATATTTGATCATAGAGAGAAGTTTTGGACTTTGTTTCTTCATTGGTACTTGGAACTGTTAAATCTGTTTCCCCAATTACTCCTTTTTTCTTCTTTGCTCAACCTGTCTCAAATACTAGGAAACTTTGAAGTTTGTACTGGTTTTTTTGGGAGGGAATTTTCCCAATCAAGGTAAGAGGTAAAGCAAGAAATTTTCAGGGTTTTCCCCATTCAGACAGCAAAAGCTTTTGAGACTCGGGGACAGTCTTCAAATTGACAGATTAACTACAAGAATTTACTTCATGAAGCCTTGTTGGATTCCCATTATCCAAAAGATTCACTTTCTAGTAAGTATATACCAATAACATGAAATCTTGCAATAATGACATTTGAGAATTTAGAAGATCCCATATTGTTCATGTTCAATCATATACTTTTCTATTAACAAAAGGTTTATGATTTGTCGACTCAATATTATACTTGTCCAAGAGCCAAAAAAAAGCTGAATAACATCTTGAACTCAATTTAATCTGTTGTGTGCATATATATTGTGTTGATTGCAGGTTTAGGTCTTCTGATTAGTTGATTTCAGCAACAGTGGGTATGATTTTGTCCTTTGTGAAGGAGTGTGTACTGTGTCACTTTCACTAACTGATCCTCCAATCTAAGGAAGATTTGGTTTTTTGATAATAAAATGCTAAAAATCGATCCAGCTTCATAGCTTGCATCACCACATAACTTTTTCTTTCTTTTTTTCTGGGATATTTATAGTTTAATCAGCCACCTTGCTTTGTTGGTTTGAAGCAAGGTGTCCTGATGGCTAAGTTTTAACCATTCATCGACATTTAACCTTCAGACGTTGGCTTGCTTGGGTTAGAAATCCTAGCCTTCAAATTGAGCTCCAGTTTTGAACTTTTTTCCCAAACCTTGGCTGACCAGCATTGTAGAAACTGGGCTTAAATCTGGAATAAGGGTGAGAATCGACATTTCCCAGCCAATCAGACAAACCTCCAGTGAAATTATTGGCCCATTTTGGAACTTGGGTTGTTCCTGGTATGTCCATCACAACTTTCCCAATATTTCCTAAACAGAGTTATGCATATATATAAGAAATAAAAAACCTTATTCTTGTCTTGCTTTCTTTCTCAAGGACCCCAAATCAATCTTCACAAATTTTCTGATCAAGTGTGTGTTCCTGTCAATGATTAGAATCCTTTCTGGACAATAACTCTCCATTTCTGAAGAGGAAAGAGAAAGAAAACGAAAGGAAACCCCTTTGTAGAACACACTTCAGTTGTTTCCTATATGATGTTTATCCTTGCCATCCCCAAAATGGAGAGTGGATAAGAGCAAGAAGATAATGACAACCATAAAAGAAATAAACCCCCATGTCTAATGCCCTTAACCCGTTGCTTGATCGCTACCTAGTAGATGCCTTATCACCAAGCTAATAAAAAGTTCTGAAAAAGAATTTGTATAGATCATTAATTCATTTGCGTTACCTTTAGAAACACAATATTAACATTATAAGTGCAGAAATGAAACAAGCCAGCATTACTTTGAAAATAATGAAATTCATCAACTAAAGCAAAATCGAAAGCACATGTCACAGAGCCAAGTCAGTATCAATTGCACAACACTTTGGAGAATACATGAACAAATTTTGGAAGTTTGTCACCTATAGAGCATATAATTCATTCCGATGACAAAATGAACCATAAATGCATATAAAACATACCAGCATGCTACTGTTATACAATCCTTTCCCCAAAGTATATTAGACATGGAAACTACATCCCAGCTTATCCTGTTTGGTCCGTTAATAACAGTAAAAAAGCACTGGGATTAGAGCTGCCATACTCAAATATCATCTTCATATATCTCACTTATCTGTGATACAAAAACCTTCAAATGCAAGTGTGGTGTACAGTGTACTAAATAAGCTCAACCTTTGCGTAGCTTGTTATTCTTGTTTTTTAGGTCCATAACTCCAGCTCAAACTTGCTTCAAAAGGAAAGGAAAATGGGTAATATTGCCAAACAGCAAGGCTAATATTTAGGTCAAATGAAAGCAATGCCAGCAAAAATGCAGCCCCTATAGTTTAGCCAGCCCCTAAAGCAAATTAGACAGCTGTTATAAGACACTGAAAAAATTATTGAAGAAATAAAAAAAGGAATCACAAGAAACCAAAAATGCTGAATCATCAGTAGAGAACTGTATGGGGCACGTTACTGGTAGGAAACAAACGGTGTGACTGGCAACTACCCTAGTGCCATCCACTAAACTAGACAAACAAACAATTGCAACCCAAGTCCAATGTGTATGTGAATCCAAATTTCAGCTAAAGCTCTATCTTCAGTCACAAGAGAAATATAATAGTTGGGATAGTGGAGCTATGTAAAGATACATTATCAACTATTCAGTGAAAGTTTCAAATCCTATTCAGACTACTCAGGGCTGACCAAGAGACAAGGTCTACAAATCATGCAGGAATCAATCAGAAACAAGTGAAGTGAAAACTAGTTACTTCATGCAACATATATAGCAGAAAAGGTTCAATATAGTAATATGGTAAGTCAGTAACAATGAGTTGAAGCAAAAACTTCCCAAGAAAATCAATACTAGCTTGTTGAGACCTACAAATAATTGCTTTCTCTCAAGACAATAAATGCCAGAACCTTGTTAAGAGCTGCTAAAATGAACAAATTTCAAGACATAATAGCTCACTTATGTTGTATAAATCAAAAGAATGAATGAAGCATACCTGGCAGAATCACCACTGTAATTTCTTGAGATTTAAAGTGAGGAGTTTCCAATTAAGAAAAGCAAAGAAGAATGAGCAATTGATTTTGTCTTAAAGCAACACATCACTTAATAGAACTACAGTATACTACATTGATCATTGTAAGCTGTGCAATACCAAGATAGATTCAGTGGAGGTAGGAATACTTTAGTTAATGGTACTAAGATAGGCTGAGGCTACCAAACCATATGCTTGCATCCATCATATAGAGATTTCAACTATTAATGTCTAAGCTTCCTGCTAGCAGGGAAGGATGGAACAATAGATTGATAGGAAAGGTCAAATGTAAATGTCCGTACAGAAATTGATGCTATTGGAGCATATCTTTCTTTCCCTTCTTTTCTTTTTTTTCCCAGGGGAAAAGGTTTTATATACTTGAGTTAGTTTTATTTTAAATTTAATGTCTTTTCAGTAATTCCTTCCAATATAACGCTTTGATAGGCATACAACATAGAAGTGATAATAGCAGATACCATAAGTTACTTAAGGAATATTATGAGACAACATCATTATAGTTCAATGGCAAGGCTTGATACAGCACTGCACATACAGGTTGTTGACCACTTTCAGACCCTAAAATTTGGTTAAAACATATCAAAACTCTAAAACGAGAGTCTTCAAATACAAAGAATCCTTAGAAACTATTCATTACCAGCACCACTACAGATTTTTCACAAAGAGAATGCTTACCTTCACAAATTCATCAGCTAAGTTAGAGCAAGACAATAAAACTGATAGCAGTCAAATGCCACAATATGGTTGATCAATTCGGGTTTTATGTTCCACATTAGATGGCCACAAAGCAAAGAGGAATCTAAACCAAAAATATCATGAACCTAGTATAGAAAATTTCTAATTAGCGAGATCAAAAATTTAAAAACAAAATTCACTCTATTTCTCCACAATGGATTTGACATTTCCCAACCATTGGATAAGTTCAATCCTATCCTTGTTCATCATATACTCATGCAGGAAAACACAAAGTTCACTATTTACCCCCCTCGCTTCTAAGTAATCATAAAGCATCTTTTGAAGTTTCCCATCCATTTTCCTGGAACAACAACAAAAACATAAAATAAAACTCATAATCAAGTTTGCCAATCAACCCTGAAAATTGCATTAAACAACAACTCGTATGCTGTGCCTCATAACATACCTGAAATCAGGTCCCATGTAAGGGTTAGTCATAATCCTATTGCGATTTAGCAAGTAAACTCTCTGAATCTCTAACCGGCCAGGCCAAGCCGAGCACAAAAATTCTAATTCAGGACAACCTTGACCCTTGGAAATATCAACAAGCAAGCTAATGTGAAGAAGCACATCTTCCCCGGAGCTGTCTTCCCCAGGTTTAGGAACAAACACACACCCGTCAAACATAGTTACTTCAATTTTAATTTCCTCATTGTCTCCATGTTTTCCCCTCATTGTCACCCACTTCTCTCCCGGTCGATCTTGGAACGTAAATGAATTGAAACTCGTGGCAGGCTACAGAAATAATGAAAGAAAAAAATAAACTTTGCGAATATAAAACTTTTGAGAGAAAAATTTTTAAGCCCAAATTCTTTTTTCTATTGATTCTGTTGGCACCTGATGGGGCGGCGCGTAGTCGTGCTGGTACTCGATCTCGTTGCTTAGGATTCTGAGGATGTTGGCTTTGAAAGGCGATTTGTGGACTGTGCTGGTCGCGTATGGTTCGTATTGGAGAAGTGAAGATGCAGTTGCGAGTCGTGATCGGCAGCCATTAGTCAGGGGTTTTGAGGCAGAGAGGATTGTTCTTCGAATGAAGCCAGCCATTTTTTCTTTTTCCCCTGCTGGTTAATTGAATTTTCGTCCTCCAGGAATTACACCAAAGAAAATAAAAAAAACAGAATAGGCGGGGTTTTCCTCTTCGCTTTATTATTATTATTATTTTATTTTAATTTAAATAATAAAAACTTTTAAATTATATTATTTGCGTAATTATATTTTATTTTATTTATCATTAATTTCACTACATTGTTGTAACAGAACATCATAGGATCATAAAAGTCGATCTCGATTAAACAGTTTTACTAAGGCATTTGACAGTAAGAAGTAGATTAAAATAACTTAATTTATGTTTAGTTTTATGGATTGCTTATTTATAACGCTTTTGATATTAACACTGATCTTGATTTTATGAATACAAGCATTTAATTATATCGAAGAATTGATAACTGTCTAAATTAATGTCAACTATATTTTTTGTTCACATGGGATATGAGCTTGTTCGGATAGATAAAAAAAATAAAAGACTTAATTGCATAAATAATGTAATTATTTAAATTAAGGAATAAATGATTGACTGTGAATTCAAGTAGCAAGAACAAAAAAACTCTTTATACCAAAAGAGAAAAAAAAAGGAGCAAAAATCTTTAGCCTGGTATAACTGAGGCTAACTGGGATGGTCGGGAAATTATCTTTGAAGTTGATCAGTAGCATCAGGCAACCAAACCTTGTCCATGTCCCTGTTTCTTTTGTTTGATTGAAGATGATGTTAGCTACTGCTTTCAGACAGAGATAATTTCCTGGGTCGAGCAGACTAGCCTTCTTTTCTTAATTATGATGAAGAAACATAAGACTTTTAAGCAGGTTTTTGACGTGTTTGAGCTACAAGAGATCACTGAAGTTGCAATCAGATGAAGCATGCCGTCGCCACATCTCCTGTGTTAGCCAATTTCCAGGACAGAAAAAAATGCAAACATCCGAATACCTCAGAGCTAACGGCAAGGAACTGACCCTTTTTTCAATAATGAATCAATGCAGGATGAGACATATATGACAGGTCTTCAGGATGAAATAAGATTCTTTGGACAAGGACAAGGGGCAAAATACAGGATCTTTCACGTCAAAATCTGGAAGCGAGGTATCACCCTCGTGGCTTTGCTTAATGTTTGTTGGCCAACGTATGGCATGTTGGACCCAGATTACCTGGACCTAAATTGCTCTCCAGTTTGTGATAAACAGGCTCTGATTTTTGCCTATCTCAAGCAGGTCGACCTAGCCGTACGTGGGGGTAAGCAAATCGATTGTAAAACATATTGGATATCAGCCACTTGGTTTAAGGATTTTGTGGACGAAAATCGAAGACTTGGCAGATTTAGGCCCATGTAACTCTGCTAACTCCACAGATCTTAACTTAAGCTTTCCCATGAAGAGAAAAAAGATTGGGCACTTTGGGTACCCAACTTCTTTAGCCTTTTCGAGTTTCGTAAACAGTCTGCTTTTATTTGACGTGACATTCTTTTACATTTAATCTAACAACATTTTCATAGTCAATGATCACATTATATATCTTCGCTTTTGAAATATTTGACATGAATCGAATTTAGGTTATCGCTTTATCACAAATCATTACTTTCTTCTCAAAAAGATAATTTAATAGTACCTGCAACCTCTAAGCTTATAATGCCTTATCTGATTCACTGGGGGGGTGAGTTAGGGTGGGCTTCACCTTGACCATCCCCGGCAGCATGCTGCTGGAATGCCAGAAGGCTGTTGCATTCCTAGGCTGAACCACCCCTCCCTCAAGGCCTAATGTAATTATTGCACACCCACGGGGGCTACAATAATTTCTCTTTTGTCTCGCACACCATCATGATGAATGATGATTCCCGCTGCATCACGAATTTAGCACTGTTTAAGCACGTTCCGTTCCTTTCTTTTTATTCCTAGAAAGTTTCCTTGGAAACAAACAAAACGCTTTTACTGACTAGAGGTTTCTTTACTGTTGATTCCTACTTACGCTTTTCTTTTTGGTTAATGTTGTCATGAATGGGTAGTCCTTATCTTTTATCAGTAAGGAAAATGAAATGTTAAAAGGAAGTAATGCATATTTACTCAATTTTCTTTGATTTTATAATGTAGATAGTTAAAATTTTTTAATTCAAAAATAGTTATAAATTTCGTATATCAAATAAACTAATAAAAAATTAAATATTTACACTAAAAAAAGGGAAACAATTGGCAACAATAATGATAAAATGTACTAGACATTAAATACTAACTATTTCAATTTTAAATTGAGTGAGTTTTTTTTTTCTATCATTTTTCCAGATAAAACACATGCAAATTCATTCATCTTTCACCATTTTCATATCCCTTTATAACAATACGAAAACGAAACATAAATATAAAGAACATAATTACATAAGTTATTTTTCATTTTAATTTTTTCATTTCCCAAACATTTATATTCATTTTCTGTTAATTTTGAGATATTTAGATTCGAATTTGATTAAAACAAATCTAATAATCATTCCTTATTCAAACCCGAGAAATAATATTTTATTAAAAACTCAACTCCATTTTTTTTCATTATGAAACTTGTAGGATCCGAATTCAATAATAACAAAAGTAAATTTAATTAATTTATATATTTTATTAATCAAAGTTTAATTTATAAATTTTATAATTAGATAATTTATAAATTAAATAAATAATCTGTTAATTGTAATAAATATGAAAAAATTATTATCTCAAATTCAAATAAGGAATACCTTAATGTTATTACAAATTTATCATTTTCAAAATATTTTAATTTTATTTAATCAGATAAATGTATATATCCGTTGGTGGGGTAACCAACCGTAGCACTAGAAAGAAAGAAATAGGTTAAGTGGCAAGTTCGGAAATATCTTAAAACTTGAAGCCCACATGTGTGGGGAACATGTAACCGGTGGCATAAGAGACAAAAGGACCGTGGAATGCTGACGATGGGGGTCGTGCCAACGCCGGTGGATCCTAAGTACTGCCACTTTGTACGTGTTTCAACACCCAGCCCTTTAATTTATTCATCAAAAATTTTTGGGCAGAGAATCAAAAAAGAAGTCTCCATGCCCTTTCTGCCCCCCTTCTATTCTCCCAATTTCTCGATTCCCACACCCTCGGCCTCCAATAAATATATATATTTTTATAAATTTAATATTATTCCTTTTGATTTATTAACGATTGAGTAATTAGTATATCTAAATATAACATAAGCTTTTAAAAAAATACTCAAATAAACTTTTAAATTATTTAAAAATATTTAAGTAAGTAATTTATCATTTTATTATATTTAATTAAGTTTTTTATTTTTATTTTGATTTAAATAAATTTTTATAATTAATTATTTATTAATTATTTTTAATAAAAATATTATTTATTATTTTATATTTATATAATACTACTATGATATTGATGCGAAGAGTAAAAAATATCACATAATTATGTTATCGTGCAAAATTAATATCATATCATTATCAATTATGATATTTCAACATATCATTTCATAATAAATTATGATATTTTAGTATCTCACATCAATATTACACAACATAGAATAATAAATAATATTTTGAATAAGTTAATCATTAATTATAAAAATTTATTTAACTTAAAATAAAAAATATAAAGATTTATTTAACTTAAAATGAAAATATAAGAGTTTGATTAAGCATAATAAAAGTATAAGAACTTATTTGAATTTTTTTGAATAATGTAATAATTTTTTTATATATAATATCCAAAAAAATTCATACACCATGCTAGCCTAAAAATTTATTATGCATAGTGTATCTAATGATTTAGATATATCAAAATAATTTAATATAAAATCAATGTATATAATAGAACTATGATTGAATTATTTTAATTAAATTTCAAAGTCAAATCCAACCATTATTTACTATCACTTACCTCCATGTGTATCTAAAAGTTTTGAAATTTATTTTTTTAAATTGAATTATCAATAAACAATAAGAAAAGTAATACACAACTAGTAAATGTCATTTTAAAATCGTAAATTTAAAAGTTAATATAATTTATATGTTATAATCTATAACTAATGTGATAATTCTAGTTTTTTTTTTTCATACACATAAAACAGTAATTCGTTGAAAGGGTCAATTTTATTACTAGGTTAAGTTTAAATTGTTAATTGTTGTTATGTTATAAATAGTAAAAATATAAATGTTTTCTTTTTAACCAAGAAATTTTGGATTTAAATCACGGGATTAGAGTATGGTATACAACAAATGAGAGAATTATTTTTTTGTGTGTAATATATAAAAAAATTAATAATTTTAATCCTTTATTGATAATTAATAATAAAATACCAAAGCAATATGCAAAACAAAGCGGAAAGAAATGGCAGATGGAGTAATTTACGATAACTGTCGGGGGCCCATGTGTTACTTTACCTTGAATTTGAAGCTAATCCAATCATAAAAATTTATTAAAAATAATATATATAAAAAGGGGAGAAAGAGAGCTCACGTCCACGAGGAGAGGAAGGCGAATTATGCTGACGGTGCGCTCGCTTTCGGCTCTCTCTCCCCTCGGAACAACCCCAAGTTACTAATTCTTCTTCCTTTTATTAATATATTTTCAACCGAAAAAGGAAAAAAGGAAAGATACGAAAGAAGTATTTGATTTCCCAGTTTACCCCTGTTGCTTCTCTTAATTTTCTCTAACGTCCGTCCCTGGAAGCTCAGTCATCTTTTTCTTCTAGTGTACCGATCTGGAGTAATTCAGAAGAATTCAAGTGAGCACAAAAAATGCTTTGTAGAATGGTGCTAATGCCCCGAAAGAAGAAAGTCGGGTCTGTTCCGGTTTACTTGAATGTCTATGACTTGACGCCAATCAATGGCTACGCTTATTGGTTTGGCCTTGGGATCTATCATTCTGGGGTTCAAGGTTAGTTTTTCATTCTATTTTTCCTGGTTTTTTTGTTTAAAATTTGGTAAAGTTTCTTTTTTTGTTTGGTTGCCGAGAAAGTAACAGAAAACAGAAAGAGAAAGAAACAATGAGTTTTTTTTTTCTTTTTTTGGCAATGTTTTCTATTTAATTCATACTTTTTTTTTCCAAAGGGTTTGCAATATGTATATATGGCCTGGTTGTTTAGTTGATGAGGTAATTTTTGGCTAACTTTTTGGTAATTCTCTCAATGAATTTTTGCGTGCTTGATTTAGCTTAGGTTCCAAAGCTAAAAATTGAAGAATGTTATGCTTTGTTTTAAATCGTTTATGGTTTTGTTTTCCATTACTCTTGACCAACCAGAATAAAAGAGTAAAATTTGAAAATATATAAAAGAATTTGTTCAATGTGTTTCTGATTGTTGGCAACAAAACAGAAGATAAGTCCCTTGAAAGAATGGATTTTGGTAGATATTAGCATTTATATCTGTGAAGTTAGTAATTGCTTTGTTTTTTTTTTTTTTCTAAGAGTAGGTTTTGAGGTATTTCTCTGGTTGATTCTTGCTATACAGTTCATGGAGTTGAATATGGTTTCGGAGCCCATGAGCATTCGACAACGGGAATTTTTGAAGTGGAACCGAGGCAGTGTCCCGGTTTCACGTTTAGGAAATCTATTTTGGTTGGAAGGACGGATTTAGGTCCAAAAGACGTCCGTGCATTTATGGAGAAGCTTGCTAGAGAGTACTCTGGAAACACATACCATCTTATCACTAAGAACTGCAACCATTTTTGCAATGATGTGTGTATCCAATTGACAGGGAAGCCAATTCCACGCTGGGTTAATCGTCTTGCTAGATTGGGTAAGAAGTCGACTATCTCCTGTGTCGTTATTTTTCTTCCTTTTCAAATTTAATTCGTAGATGATATGATTGGCTGTGGAGAATATTTGTATATGTTGAAGGGAAAGTGGTACAGCATATCGTGTTTGCTTTGTTCAGCATGTTTTCTAATTTGAAAGGATTTGCATGCACAGAGGTAATTGCTGAAATCATTCATCATAAAGTAACTTTTTAGTGTTTGGCATTAAAAAAGTAATGCTATTAATAAAAATCAAGAACCAAAAGATTAAGAGTGTTTCGCTTGAAAGAGGCTTTCAAGACAAGGAAGGGGAGGTATCAGCTTCCACCATACCCACTGACTAACCTCCTGTACTGCTAGCTTTATTGGAATGATGTTGTCGGCCTGCTGCATGAGCACCATTCAGGAATGCCATGCTCCGATCATAATTGCCACCACCACCACCTACATGCACAAGCTTCCAAATTTGAAATGACAACCATATAATCACCTTCACTGTTAGGCACAGCCAATAATTCTCTTGCATATTAGCAGCACAACTGCCATGGCCAGCTAATTGTCACTCACGGTTTTGCAATTTTCATAGTGTATATTCGGGTTGATTGTACTATAATATTTGTCACGTAGTAAATGATACCCTGAAATTTACTGAGCTGTTATATTCCATACTTGATCTTGCCTTTGGTGGGAAAGTTGGAATGTTTGTTGGGGAATATTATGTTGGTCAAAGTTACTAGTGCAACTTGGATGCTCTGGGTTCATCCAGCATCTCTATTTCAATGAAAATGAAATTATAGACTGAGGACATGGGTTGAATCCTGACCTACCATGTGAAGTAAATTTGTTTCATACAAGGGAGGTAGGAATGCAGAATAATAGTTTCATTGATATTGCTGCAGGCCCAAGTAACACTGTTTTCATTTTCTAAGCTTTCTAAAGACTATACTCCCCACCTCCTCCGTGCTTGATATACTTTCTAGTAGGAACCAAAGAGCACAATAATTTATGATTGTCTGCTTTAGCTCTAGATGATTTTATAGGTTCTTTCAGTGCAAACTGATGATGGTCTTGTTTGTGATGAATATTTAGGTTTCCTTTGCAACTGTGTTCTCCCAGCAGGGTTGAATGAGACAAAGGTTCGCCAAGTTAGAACAGAAGGTAAGGTTCAAGAGGTAGCGAAGAAGAAGTTGAGAAGCCAATCAAGTAGGTTTGTATCTTCTTCTAATCCTCTACCTCCTTCATTGACATCTTGTCCTCCAGGCTCTGCAATGAGTAGTAGACAAAGGCGATGTATTCCTTCATCATCATCTTTGATTCATACTTCTTCAACCTCAAGTTTGAGCTTGAAGCTTTGAGAAAGTTGGACTTATGGTACAGTTTAAGGTTATTAAGGTTTGAAAGTCAAGAGTAGATGAGGTTAACAACTGCAAATCTTCTCTTCTACCCCCGGTTTTTACTTGGTTTAGCTGACCTTTTTTGATGGGTGTCGAAACAGCCGCTTGGAAAAATCATGCAGCGTTTCTGTTTTCTGTCATATGCATTCCTTTTTTCAGTTGAATGAAAATATCTATGGTTTTTCACACTTTTGCACTCTACTAGCCGAATGATATTCTCAAGCGTATGTCAAAATCATGTTCAGTTAGAAACTGTTGGACGTTTGGTAATAGAGCGAACCATTTGTGCAAATCTTAGGACCCATGAAATGGTACATGGCTAACGTTCTATGTGAATGATTATGGCCCTGCCTTGTACTAGTTAGGTGTGGCGGGGACGTTGGTCGCTTTTATTATCATGAATTCGATGAAGGTGCGTTGTCTACATTGGGTAAAAGAAGTTGCGAGTGGTCCCTGGCTCCGTGCAAACAGGTTTTCATGTCGGCGTTGGGTGGGAAAAGTTTTCTGTACACTACAGTCTTTGGGAGCTACAATAATGGAAGAGAGTGGTGCCCGAGGGGAAAGTGGGTGTGCCCCCTTTTCTAACTATTTCTTAGCTTGATAACCAGCAAAGCGGCCCAAACCGCTTGCCTTGCTGTAGATGCCACAATTATTGACTCCAATGAACATAGGCATCCTCCAATTCCCAGTTAAAAGTTTTCCTTCAAAATCCTACATGTCACGGTCCAAAAGAAGTTCAATTTTCAGAATTTAAGGTCGTACGAAATTCGGTTAAAGTCTCAATTTGTGACATTAGTCACTGGATGGAAAATTGTGGGAAATAAAAGTCCCCAGGGAATCAAAATTTACCTCATGTACAACTTTCCAGCTAGAACAGGCTTGACTTCGTCTTCCACAGTAGTTTTGGGCCGGGGAGAGCACAGATGAAAATTAAAGAAACAGGAAGAAGTGGATGAAAATTCATGACTGGTTAATTGCCTCTTGGTCTGTTTGATCAAGAAGACAGCAATTAAGGCTGGGATCATAAATTAGCCCATCCACATGAAGCAAGGAATCATTTTAAGGAAAGCTTTGTAATCATGGTTATTAAAGATGGTACAGTTCAACAATTTCTTTCACTCGATCCAGCCCATCTTGTGTTCTTCCTTGAACAAGCGAGGATCAACCCACTAATTTCATGGAGAAGCAAATTCAAAGTAGAAAAACCCTTTTTTTAAAAAATTATTTTATCTCGAATCTTATTGATTAGTAAAACATTTTAATTTTATATGTACTTAATCAAAATTTTAAAAGGGTATCTGAATTTGTATCCTAATATCTTAGGTATTATCTGTTAAAATTTTCATTTAATTAATGTAATCTTTCTTAAACAAGAAATCAAGAGTCTTCTTTCCTCTAAATTTATTTGATGACAATTTCAGATTGATTTGCTCACCTATTTTTATTTTTGGAAAGAACACAGCAATACATGTCGGCTTAAGCAAATCCGAATAGATCAAAAATCCCCACAATAAGCAAGTAGAGTCAGATTTGCCGGCTGTAACTATAAAATCAGAACAGATCATTTTCTTCTTTAAAAACCCTGCCAATAAGCATGAAACCCCTGCCATCCTTCCCAGGGATTTTACTGGTTCCACGTTTCAAAGTCTATGCAGCAAGGCAACACACAAATCAATCTTGATGAACACTTGAAAGCTACATATAATAAATCATTTATTTAAGATGATGTGCATCGGCCAACTTTCTTTTCCTTTGACTAATCTCATGATGATGCATTGTTTCTTTCTCCATTTTTAATCAATCTTTGGTTCCTGATTACGTAGTTTCTTTACTGCTTTCTCCCCAAGTGGTTTTCTTCTAGTATTACAAGTTAGATTTTGCGTCGAGCTTTCGACTGCCGTACCATGGTTATGGTTGGTACACGGTGGATCGCTCAACTTGGGAAGTTGCAAAAGGGGGATGATGTAGATGGCAGACATTTTGATGGCTATCCTAATTGCTTACGTGGCCAGGTTGAACTTGGATAAAATTACGCATGATTATCTTTTCGTGATTATTTGCATAAATTGATTAAAATAAACTGTTATACATAAAAAATAATAAATTAATCTTTTAACACGTGCTAATTTAATTATATATCACGATTTAAAAAAATTATAAATTTTATATGGACTGTATGACTGGGTATTTAAATGTTTATATTATCAAGTTGTCTTTTATGAGATTAAAGTGAACAATATTTTATAAATTGGTGTAAACTGTAATATGAGTTTATATTTGATATATTGTATATAATTTAATTAGAGAGTTTTCGCCATTGATGTAATATAAATTTCATATATTTGATAAATTTTATAAATTTGTCCTATGTTGTGCTTTGTGTGTGTTTCTTACATTTGTTGACCAAATTGGGGGTTGTCAAGTGATTGAAGGTGAAGTTCAGTTTGGTTCACCGGTCAAGAGCAAAAGCCAATTGGAGCTTGCAAGACGAGAGAAAAGGGGCTGTCTGTAATGTTTTATCCTGTTTTCCTACTTAGCAAACCCGTTTTTTAAATTTCGCAAAGGGTATGTGGATGCCAGTTAACGCCAGCCTACCCATTTTACAAACGAGAGTTGGCAAACTGCTTGCATTCATATTCCTTTCCTTTTTCCCTAAAACAAGCAGATCTGTGGGTTTCCAACCTGAACCTGCGGGCTCGAATCCATTGGAATTCTGAGTCCCACATACATGGAATTCCACGGTAGAAAACAGCTTCAATTTTTTGAATCAAACTAAGGCTGAGGAACAGCTTTGGAAGTTGAGTTGGAAACTCTGAACCACCATGTTGTTGCTGATGTTCCAAGAGTTGGCAAGTGACAAAGAAAAACATTAGAAGAAACCAAACCAAAAGGCAATGTATATTACTAAAAAAATATCAGGATGTTCCCAATGATTGTTTTTGCAGTTGAGGAACTGTCCAACCAAGGTCATGGTAGGCATTGCCTTCAAACCAGAAAGGCGTATAAACAAAAATTATTGGGAATGCCCAATCAACCAACCCAAAGCGGAAAACTTTGGCACCAACTCCTGAAAGTCTGAAACAAGTGACAGCCCAACAAAAGTTCGTTCCTTTTCCCATTTACAACTGAAACCGCAGACAATTTGGGGATGAACTAGTGCCTAACTCCGAGTCCCGACCAGAAAATCTTTGTACAATCTCATCTCCTTGAACAAAGACCATTAAAAAGAAAAGAAAAATCCCATTTTTACAAGCTGAAAATCTATGTCAGATTTTCACGAGACTGATTGGGATTTCCACAAACAAAGGCAGCAGGAGAAGAAAACCAGGCATGCGGTCAGACAGTCAAACCCCGACAAAATTTGGCCCATTTCTCACTGCCTTCGGTGCCCGTTCTGGATCAAGTACGACATTGCTATGTTTCCTGAAAACACTTCTCAAAATTTAAGGTAACCGACCGACGAAGTAACTTTCAGGCTTCAGAGATCCAAGACCAGGTCAACCTTGTTGAAAGGGTTTGATTGGCTGGCGATAGGATTTAAAACCTTGGAAAAAAGATTTTCACACACATCCAAGAAAGCTCCCCAGAAGCAAAGGGAGACCCACCCTCACATGCATCTTGTCCTATGTTTGGAAACTTGGAAATTTCCCATTACAACTACTGTTCCAATCAGAATCAGACAGCTAAAGCCAGACATGTAAGTAAAATGAGTGGACCAGGGGAAAAGGTATTACAGCGATTAAAGAAAGGAACAAAATGGCGCACAAGAAAAAAAAAGCAAGATTAAGGAAGAATTGCTTCTGCTCATTAAATCTCTATGGCATTTTGATTGCAACCAAGAGCTCGAACAGGAGTATATATCGAATTTACTACTACAAAGTTTGAAACAAACGATTACAATGATTTCCATATAAACTATAAAATACTCAAGAAAATAAAGAGATAGAAACTGGGAAAATTTGGATCTTCTGAGAGCAAAGGGGAAATGGTTATATCTATCTATGTATACATCTATCTCTCTCTCTATAATTTCTTTCTCCTATTGTAACTTTCTTATTGTACTATGTTCAAGAACAAATGGGTTAGTGAGAATATTTAGAATAGCGACATTATCAACAAAATATGGGAGGATTGTAAGGGAGAGCATGACAGGGAAAATCTTCACTTTTTCCAGGCATAGACAAGCAAAGAGAAGCCAGTAGGAGCACTTAACTCACTCTCCTCCACGCTTGCCCACTCCATCACGGAAGAGCTGCCCCCTGAAGAAGCTGAAGACATCGATATTGAGGAAGAGGATGAGCTTCTAGCAGTCCTCAACAAGCTTTTCCTCATCTTTTTCCACTCTATTCCATTCATGGCAAAACTACATGAATTTTGTTGCCACAGAACGACCCCGTTCTTCTCGTTGAAAGGACTCACTCCTTCTGCATCGGCCTGCTGATGCTCTTCTTCAAGAATTTCAGAGCCTTCATTCTCAAACTTGAACACGAAAACTGCATGCCCATTGTTCAAATCCTGATCAAACAACCAGTTGTACACGTCCCACGAGACTTGTATCGAGACCCCATCTACTTCAATCCTCTCATTTCCTCTAAATTTCCATTTAAGTCGCTTTATTTGCAAAACCCTTTTGTTATCAACGCTAAAGCACAGCCTCGCATCCTCATTTACCCTGCAATCAATGGAAATTTCCCTGCTTTTGCCTCCGAATCTGGCTTTTGTGTTGTACACTTTGCTGCCAAACACGTGTTCTCTTCTCAAAACAAGAGCTTGGCCTCTCCCAGGCTTCTGAACTCTCGTTCTGGCGTAAGCCGCTTTGGTAGAATCACCGACAAGAAGCGTCATTTCCCCATCAACAACAACAGCAATATAGAATCCAGAGTCAGGTTCAGGCCCGGATCCAAACTTGGCCCGGGAAAGGTCCCAGAAGACTTGGACGTTACGGACTGTGGCGCTGCTGAGTTTTTTATATCCCTGCTTCTTCCAAAAGAAAAACGGCTTGATATGGAGATGAAAATGGAGGGTGGAGAAAGAAAGGGAGTTAGGGAGAGAGAGAGGAGAAGAGGAAGCGTAGTGAGAGAACGGGTGGAGGTGGAGGTTGAGAGAGTGGCCAAGGAAGGTGCGGGACCAGGTGAGCGAAAAAAGCCCAAGATTTGTGTGGTAGAGAGTTGTAGCGAGGTTCGTTTTACCTGAGGTTTGCGGCGGCGGAGGCGGAGGCGGAGGCGGCGGTATGTGGTTGTTGTCTGCGGTGGTGGAAGGGCGGAAGCATGACGGGAACGAGGAAGAGTGGTGGTGGTGGCGTTGGAGGGACATCTTTTGTTGGTTTGGGATTGGTTTGTTTGATATGAGGCTTCCGGTTTCAAGGGTTTTTTGGAGGCTTTAAAAAGACGGGGTCTTTTTAGGGGGTTGAGACAAAGACGAAGACAAGACAAAAGAGGGAGACTTTCCTGCCTGAAAATTTTACTTGGACTTCAATTTCTTTTCCAACATAAATAAATACTATTAGAAGAAAAAAAAAAGCTCTAATAGTTAAGAAAAAAATTAATTATGAGATTTTTTTAATTAAAATAATAATAATAACAACAAAGAAGAGACCTAAAAAAATACGAAAAAAAAGGTCATGACTTATGGTTTTTTTTAGCAAACTTTTCCTTAATAACAATTCATCTTGATTTACTCTTTAAAAGTTATTGGTATTTTTAGGTCAAAAATGGTAAGTAATTTACAATTAACAAAGTTGACTATACAAATATTTAACTATTTCTTGAGGTTTGACAGAGGTGAAACCAAATTTTGATGCTTTTTGAATGGATTTTATTATTTAAACCAAAACCATTTCCCTCTGTTTTTTTCTTTTTATTTAAATAGTATGGTAGATGCTCATCTATGGAACATGAGCCTAATTATTATACTATTATTCAAATAAAACATCTAATTTTATATTCTAAATGTTTGGCAACTACTTAATAATTTGGTGGAAGTTTTGGTTATCAATAATGAACAACATAATCTAAAAATTATATGAAATCTTATCTTAATTAGTAATATGTATAGATTACAGATATATTCCCAATTATTAAAGTACCCCCATTTATATATTTCTGTTTCCATAATCAAATATTTTTAAATAAATCAATTACTGCTCTCTTCCAATCCTAAATTGTTTATCGTTTTTTAATTTTCATGAAAAATAATTGAGATAAAAGTTTTTATTATGATATCTAATTCATCGAAAGTGTTTTTCATATCGTCAAAAGTATGTTAAAATATATGAATTTTTTATATTTATTTGTATTTTTGATTTTTGGGGTTTAACCCTGTGATGGTTGGAAATGAAGACTCGTTCAATTTGATTGTTATATATGCAGACAAGTAACTGTGTAAACTTCGTGTCAAAATGAAATTTGCACAATTGGAAAGGAAATTTCCCCAGGTGAACTTGCAGTACACGTGCACAATCCTTGTATAAAAATTAATGGCTGGATAACAATAGGCAAAGTTTGAACTTTTCTCTCTCTCTCTCTCTTTTTTTTTTTGTTTCAAACTAATTAGGCTGAATTTCAATAGGTTTGAAACCTTAATTTTCATTATCAAAAGCATGTGAAAATCCAATGAAATTGTAGGCTAAATTTGCTCCTGAATTTAATTGGATTATATTATATACTTGTACAATTATTTTATCTTTAAATCTTATATTTATAAATTTAATCATATTATGCATCTAAACATTTGATTTATTGATTGATGTATTATCTTTTTACTTAAAAAATAAAGTTCAAATCTTTATTTTCCAATTATAAAAAAAAATAATCATATCATATAAATTTTTTATAATATTTTAAATAAAATGCAGCCGTACAGATTACATACATTAATAATACTTATATTAATTATTTTATTACAGTATTTTTAAAGTTTTAGTTGTATAAAAATATATGTTACATCAAATAAATGTAATTAAAATCTAAATCTATCTTAGTATATACTGATAATATTTTTAATTCTGTTCAATTTTTATTGCTATATTGTCCTTTCTATAGCTAAAAAAACATGTTTCTATCATGCACATTGTTTTTTATTTGAAAATGGTATGCTGTGATCTTGTCAGATACTTAGAAAACTAAGATAAAATTCAAGCTCTCTGGATGGGAAAAGGGAACAAAGCTCATGATTCGAATGGATGCATAAAGCCAAATTAGTGGACAGTTTCCCTTTCCAATGGTTAGAATTTTCTTAAACCTGTCACTGTTTATACCAATTGTGCTTACTTAATTGCTCTTGAATTTTTGAATTCTTTTTTTCAAAATCCATGAATTTGTCTACTTTGGCCTGCTTTGAGTCTCTTTTTATTATTATTGGTTATTTAGATTATTACAAGCTGGAAATTTTAATGACAAGTTCTTTTGGGGGAGAATATTTTTGGAGGGGTCATGAATGATTTTGCCATTAAATATCATTACTCTGAGGGTCCAAAATGATCATTTTATGTCTGGTTGAAATTAATAGTTCGATATATATAATTATTACTTGGACTATATATATATATATATATGTATAATTTAATAGATAACTATATATATTTGTCGAAAGAGAATTGGAAAGAGACTGAGAGCGGGCAGAAATTTTGAAAGGGTTTATCATAGAATTAGCAACATTAGGCTCAATTCTCTTAATGTTTGGAACATAACATGTGTTGTGATGCAGGAAATTGAAACCAAGATGGCTTCAAACAAACATCCCTAACTGTTTGATTTAAGTGCTTGCTACCCTGGCTGCTCTTTCCATATTCAACAAGAGATTGACAGTAAACCATCGGATTGTTCTCCATTCAGACAACATCTGATAAGTAATGTAGGGTCGTTGAGAGTTTGAGGATTAGAAGAAACCCATGGTCCCAGCACCTCATCTCCTTGACCACACAACTCTCCGTGAAGAAGCTGGCATTGTCTCCTCAGTTCACTTCAGTGTCCCATTCCTATATTTGCTTTAAATTAAGGCAACTGGTACCTCGATGTACTTGCAATTTCGTTGGACCATTTTCCTTTTTGCTACGTGTATGTTTCTCCATTGTACTCCTTCTCGGACCAGGATACATTCCACGCTCTAATTGGTGGGAGTTGATGAAGTTTCCGGGAAAATGTTTCAAGCCTTGTTTGATTTGATGGACAGAAAAGTAAAACGTTTAGGGTTTGGTTATACAACTAGGCCACTGTTTAAGGGCATTGATTATCTTGAAACAACGAACAACGTAAATAAAAATAAAATGTTCATAACATGATGTTGAATAAAATATATTCCACAAAATTGATCGACAGAGATCAATTGGTAACGAGACTGCGGCCAAATTCATGCTATCTTGAAACAATGTGGATGTAAACTGTTGCTTCGTGAGAGAAGAGACAGTAAGTAAGAGAAAGCAAGTAGAAGCAACATGGAAGAAGCAGTTGTAATTCACAAAGTCAAGAGGTCAAAAGTGTGTGGGGAGGGGAAGATGTTCGACTTCCATGTTGGACCGTGTCATACAATTCAGCTGATCATATATCAAGGAAGAGAGACAAATATATATATATATATGTAGAGGTCGAAATTGACCCTTGTTCTAGTGTTATATCTTGAGTTAAAAAACTTGAATAATGGAAAGCAACTTGTTCTTGCTACTGACTTTTCAAACTTTCCCAAAGCAAAACCCACTTCCTTTGGTTTGCCCTTTAATTTTCTTTTGGACTTGGCGAAGGTTCTTAGTCAATGATATTAATTGCAACAATTAATTGTATTTCCAATTACTTGAGAGTGGATTTTTAAGGTACCTAAAGGAAACTTCCCTCTACCAAAGGTTTGGCTACTTATATTTTTGTTCCTGTGTTCCGCATGACATGATTGAACACAGCAATGACTTTCAAATTAAATCAAAAGTCAACAATTAAATTTCTTTATATATATATATTTATATATATATATATGTGTCTGTGTATAAATCAGAAGTCAACAGTTTTCTTTTGCTTAATTTGTGTAATTAATGTGCTTTTATTTTCATTATCTCTATTAGTACTTTTTTTTTCCTTCCTTCTATCTTTAAGGTATGATTTAAAGAATAAATAAAATTTAAATGGTTAATTATTCTTATTTTACTAATTAAAATAAACAACTATTTTGACTAATCTTTTAAAGTTTAAGTAGTGTAACAATAGCATTTCGCAATATATTCTTTTCGAATAAAAATTTTTTTATTTTCCCTTGATGTATCATTTAATGTTTTTTTTCATAATTTTATATCATATATCTAATTTTATGCTATCAATAAAAACTTTAACTTTGAAATCTTGAAACCCTAAACATAATAGAAGCAAATCTAATAATAAAAATAACATTGATGTAAAAATTTACTAAACATGTAACGTAAAATTATGAAAAGATATTAAATGAAGTACCACTTAATTAATACAAAATCTATTTAATATGATCTTTGAACAAGTTGACTTATTATTATTAGTGATCCAATTAATTGATCATTCACCATATATATCAAACAAATATGCTTGCTTCCAGATTGTTGGAACGTGAATCCTGGATGGAGCCTGGTTAACTCGTTAGAAAATTTGACCGGAGTTACATAAACACAAACTAATCCAGTTGCAATTCAACTTGTGAAACTTGTACCGTATGCAATATAATTTGAACTGTGGAAGGCGGCTTGTCAAAGTAAATTGTCACGAAAAGAAAGAGAGAAGTTGACCCATTTCTTTGATTGGAAGACTCCGAGGACTGATCTAATACGCGCTTTTAACTATGTACTGGGAGTTTGAATCTGAATATTATTGTTTGAACCCCCTTTTTCTGCCTAACCTAGAAGCAACTAGCAGCGGGAGAGAGAGAGAGAGAGAGAGACCCAAGGATTCATCTGAATTATGGATCTAACACAATGGAAAACCTGTCCTTTCTTTTCGATCTTTAGGGTTTCACAGATTAATGATGAAAGGACCCCTTGGTCTTTGCAAGAGCTAGCTATTCTGCTAATTAACTGCCTAGGCAGAGAGCAAGAGATATATTCAGCTCAGTAGGTGGTGAGTAAAGAAAGAATGGATCCGCAGCATGCGCAAACGTATCCAAAACTTCAAGCTAACTCTTTTACCTAAATAATATTCCCCAAACTCTTTCCTGCTGGCAGCTACACTACCAAACAGATGCCTTCCCCGTTCCTCACTTATTAATTAAATCAAGCTAACCACAGCTTAATCAATTCGGGTATTTGCCAGTCTTTTCTAACAACAAAAATGGTGGGGTTGTTGAGTGAGTTGTGTCTTTGTTTAAGGGAGGATGCAAAGCTGTTGTTGGAGGGTTGATTAATGGCAACTTCCCTCTGGATTGAAAACTAGTA